CTGTGTATGTGAGTTTTCCAAGTAGGACATAAGATCAACATGTTATAAAAATCTTCTTTCATGCTGTCTTGTTTAGTAATTGGAGATTCACAGAAAGGCTTTTCTTTACCTGTAATCAGATTTTAATAGAGGAGATTAAAGCAGATACCTGCTAACTGCTGGTTCTGATGTTTCATGTGTTGAGCCGATTTTTAATGTTATTACATAGCTGGTGCTCTAGGTCTTTGATCTGCAAAGAAAAACATTACTGATGTGCCAGACTTAGCCTTAAATGTCTGACTAGGTAAACTGAACGTATTCTGGAAGGGCGTTAAAGAGGTGACCGTGTCTTTTCTTTTGCAAGGGCAAATTCTTTTCTGAGGCTTTGCACAAACATTTGCACAATTGTTAGTGAATTTGTAGGTCCACTCTAGAAAGTGAAAATAAATAATCTTCTTTCAGGAGAGGTGTGGCCTTTGAAGGTATATTTTATTTTGAAGTTGATATGATTCTTTGATTCTGGCTTAATTACGTCTCCTTCGAAGTACCTTCATAACTATTGATGTTGCTGCTGCTCTGTTAGACTCTAGAAGATGGCAAAAGTCCCATAAAACTTCCTGGGAGAATTGTTCGGTCACTTTGTCTAATATACATAAGATTTTATTCCTGCGGGCGTAAAGGAAAAATGCTGCTCTTTGGCAGTTCATGTGGGTTCTGACCATATGCCTATGCAGAGTGTGGTCTTTTTTAAAGAAAACCTTTAGCAGCTATTTAGTACAGTCTTAGTTTCGGCCTACCAAAATATTGGTTACTTTTGCTGTCTCAGAGGTCAGTATTGAGAATTATCACCTGATAAGATTGCTGATACCGAAGTCCATAACATTCAGTATGATGTCTTTGGCCAATATTATTCAAAAGCACAGTAATTTCAGAAAACTTTACATAGAGATAACTTTTCTTTGAATCTTTACTTCCTGTGCTGTTTCCTGCCTCAGCCTGTTACAGGGCTTGAGAGACTTTGTCTCATTCTGTTGACATAATTAGCCACACCTTCACCAGAGCTGCCTTATATATGAGAGGGGGCTCAAATCTTATGCTTAGGTTTTCTTTTATCGTATGAAGATGTGACTTGGCATTTGGAGCTTGTTGCTATAGCTACAATATATAATTTCTTTGCTAATGTGAATCCTTGAATTCTCTAGTCATTCACTTTTTAGATGCTACCATATAGAGAAGATGCACTTCCTATATAAAATGTGATCTGTTATGGCTGGCCAGTCTGTCAAAACTGAGAACCCAACTGCCCATGTAAGTCAACATCTGTCCCGGCTTAGCTGAACGGGATACTTAAAGTGGAAGAGCAAGAGAATCCAACTTGGAATGCTCATCCAGTGAAGACAAGAATCAACACCCACGGGATTGTATTATCCTAAGCTTAAAAGAGAACAGCAGCTTGTTTAGATAATCTTTGACAACCTTATCTAGGATGTTAGATGTGTTTCACATCGCTGTCTAGCCAAGTAAAAGATTTATTGTTGCAGCTGTAGTAACTACTGTCTTTGGTAGTACCAGTGTACTACCAGTTTGGATCGTGAGGGTTCAAGCAGTTTTCTGACTTTCCCATTTTATAGGTGATTTTATATGAAACTCATATCTTGGAGACTTAATTAAGCACATAAATGGCAGCTGGTGTAGATAGAGATTGAAACTTTATATCTTTAATTGCAATTCTATTAAAAGTTGATATTTCCATGCCTAAAGGCACTTTCTCTTTGCAAAAGTGTAACTATAAGTATATTCTTGTGAGTTTTATAACAGCTTGTCTTTAATCTGAAAAATTTGTGTGTAGGTGTGAGGTTTAGGGGTTTTTTAGTTGACCTATAAAATTTCCACTGAAACAGTTTAGTCTACCAGCATGAAACTCCCTCTGAAAAAGAATTAATTTGTTTCCATGGATACTGATAGACTTCTAGACCAGTGGTCTCCAAACCCTTTTGATCGTGCACCCCATCAGTAAAAAAATTAGAGCATGCACCACCGATATCTGTATATTTATTTATAAATTATATACATGTACTACTGTACTATTACGTACATTATAAAACATACCCAAAAATGAAAATTAAAGATGAGATAAAGATTAAATAAATACTATTTTTGCAGCGAAAAAATTGTTTCTTCTCACACCTCAATGGATTATCTTGCACACCTCTCCAGGTTTTGACACTCCACTTTGGAGACCACTGTTCTTCCTATGGGGGAGATGCCCCAGGCAATATAAACAGGAGATCTAAAGGCCAGAGAGAAATTACCTATGAAGAGTCCTGCGAGTTTTCTGACATATGTGTGTTAGAGACTGCATTTAAAGCAAGTGCTTGTGCCAGAGTTTGATCCCTGTATATGGAATGGATTGATTTGTCTTCCCTTCCTACTTCTATATGTCTTAGACTGGGAGTAGGAAAGGCCAAATGAAGTTTTATAACATTCAGTGATCTCCTTTACAGTGGCTTTTCACACCCATGAAACAGCTAGATATTTGACTTTGTTTATTGCAGAACCTAGGAGTACTTGGTTTTTTTTATTTTTGTAACTTATCGGATATATTTGTTCATTTGGACTAAAATGTTCTGATGTTTGACTTTGAATGCTGTTCATATATTTTCTCAGTGCTAGTATTCAAATCCATGTAGTCTGTGTTTGGGACATCCTTGCAGACTTTTTGCTAGGTAGTCCCCTATAAACAAGCTTTCATCATCTTTAAGGGAAACTTAGAAAACTTGGTGTTTGGGTATTGTGTGTGGTTTTTTGGTTTTTTTTTTTTTTTTTTTTT